ACCCATTGTGACCCCACGGACCACGTTCCTCCAGGCCTTCCTGTCCTCTACCATCCTCTGGAGTCCATTTAAGCTCATGCCAACTGCTTTGGTGACTCCATGCAGCCACCTCATTCTCTGTCGTCCCCTTCTTCTTCTGCCCTCAATCTTTCTCAGTATTAGATTATCCTCCAGTGAGTTTTTCCTTCTCATTAGGTGGCCAAAGTATTTGAGTTTCCTCTTCAGGATCTGGCCTTCTAAAGAGCAGTCAGGGTTGATCTCCTCTAGGACAGACTGGTTTGATCACCTTGCAGTCCAAGGGACTCGCAAGAGTCTTCTCCAGCACCAGAGTTCAAAGGCTTCCATTCTTTGGCGCTCAGCCTTCCTTATGGTCCAACTTTCGCAGCCATCCATTGCAACTGGGAAAACCATACCCTTGGCTAGACGCAATTTGGTTGGCAACCTTGCGACATGATAAACCAATTCGGATACTGTCACTTAGCTTGGCCAAGTTAAGACGTGAGGACTTCCACTCCCAGAATTCCCCAGCCGGCATGCAAATTATTTAGCGAAGGGGTCTTATCCAAATTGGTTCGTTGTGTCGCAAGCAATAAGAAATGAAACAACTGCAACGTGAAAATAAATGGAGCAGGGCGGGGGGGGGGAGGTTTCTATCCAGCAGAAGATATTCCTCCAATTTCAGAGTCCAGAATGACCGACAACAGAGACGGCCAGGATCTAATGTGAAAAAGTGATGGAAGTACCTAAGCTGTTGCCTCCGCAGCCTTGTAAGATCCGCCTTGCCCTCTTCTTGGAGTCTTCTGGGAAACTGGGGCTGTCCAGCAGGATGGGATAAGTGCAAAGTGCCACCACCTACATCGTCCCAAAAAGAACACACGGAAAGAGATGAATCCCACAGTAATTTACACCCACCTATTACAGCAATTTATCAAATGATTCCAATCTCGCTCTTACGGGAAGCCCTCGACTTACAATCTTTGTTTAGTGACTGTTTGAAGCTACAGCGGCCCCGAAAAAAATGGACTTTGGAAAACGTTTTTCACGCTTAGGACTGCTAAAGCACGCACACACACACACACCCCGGTCACATGATCAAAATTCACGTGACCCGACAAATGCGCGCCCGACAGCACGGTGACAAAACCGCGGCGACAAAACCGCGATTAGGGTTAAGGGTTAGGGTTAGGGTAAGGGTTAGGATTAGGGTTAGGTTTATGGTTCNAGTAGCCTGCAGTGCTGCATTTAACCACTGCGCCACTGGCTGAGGAATTCTGGGAGTTGAAGTCCACAAGTCTTAAAGTTACCAAGGTTGGAGACACCTAGTGGTCTGGGTGATCTTTACAGCCAGAATTTTACAGCCAAAACAAAGGGGAGGAAGAAATGTTGAGGCCAGAGAGAAAGAGATTTCTACCCTTAGCAAACTAGGTTAAGCAGTTCTTCTCTTGTTCTATCATGCAGTCTGAATAAACCTGGATTCTTGGTCCCAAACATGAGGAACCTCACATCAGAAGATGCCCCTAATGCCACCTACAGCAATGCCATCGCTCGCTCCTGTGGTCAAGTAAATGTTCTCTGGATCGGCGGGGACACCGCCATCTCGCCGCTCAATGTATGCCGCTACATCTTCACGGATGCAATTGACTCCTTGGCTGGCACTGTACGAGCCTGCGAAAGGAAGGAAAATGTCAGCCTCCGAAACCCACGAAAGATGTGTTGAGATTCTTCTAAAAGGTTTCCTAACCCTCTATCTGTAACTTCTGCCCATCAATTTGATCAATTGACATGTTCAGAGAACATAAAGATTAAATATGGGGCAGATTTTCCCCCTCCTCCTTCTGCCTCCGCCTTGAAAGCAAAACAGATCCAGCAACACATTTATCACTTCAAGTTGCGGCACAATGCACAAACACTGCTCCTCGTCAGCACTGATGATGTTACCTAGTTTGGTAATGAAACGTCTGCAAGAAAACCATCAAATCCAGAGAGCACTAAGAACCCTCATAGTCAGAGTTCTCCAACACTCCTCTTGGTGAGAGCACAAAACATTGGGTCCTTTACAACAAACAGAATAAAAACATATGCAGGACACACAGGGAGCAGGAGAGCTTTGAGTAACACTTTGGAGAAAGGTGATGTCCCGATTTATGGTTCAACTGTATCTTGTAAGATTTTTTTTTTAACCAGAGCCACAGAGATATTCCTTTTGTGAGTGTTTCGACTTTTCTGTGCACTCTGCTGATGCTGTCTGGATCTCGGAATTTTGGAATATATTTGGAATGATTTTTTTTAACACTCGAGACTGCAGAGATATTCACCAAAGATGGCCCTAGTGTAATGGCTCAAGCAGCAATGACATCTGTTTCTCATATTGAAATAGTTAGTTATTTTTTTTTTGTTGATATGCCAAGACACGTTGATCAAAGAATCTCCAATAACCCCAGGAAGCTCAACCTTGCATGCAAAGAATTTTTTTTAAAAAAAGACTTGTTTCTCAGACATGAAGACGCCACATACCTCAGCATATACATATTGTGTCACTGTTGCCCAATTATACTTCCTTATATATCAAGTTGAACTAGTTTTAGAATTTTAAAATGTTATTAAGGAAACTTTGAAAAATATGTGGGGACCTAAGGAACTGGATGAACGACTAGAAGGAAAAAGAGACTCAGACAGACTGACCTTCTTGCTACCCTCATTCCATCTCAGTTAACAGTTGGTTTGCCAGTTTGAGATGGGAATGGTGTGTTTCATTTGTGTCCAATGTTAAACTGTGAGACAGTTCCACTGGAAAATTTCTAAATATTTCTGACAGTAAATTATTCCAGCTTAACTCTTTTCTAGACCCAATGGCCTGGGAACATCTTGATGCTGACAATGATGAGCATAACACATCATTCTCTAACTATGTTTCTCAACCTTGTTGTGAAGTCGTGTCCAATCCATCACAACCCCATGGACAATGTTCCTCCAGGCCTTCCTGTCCTCTAAGCATCCCCCAGAGCCCATTTAAGATCACACCGACTGCTTCAGTGACTCCATCCAGCCACCTCATTCTCTGCCACCCCCTTCTTCTTCTGCCTTCAATCTTTCCCAGTATTAGATTATCCTCCAGTGAGTTTTTCCTTCTCATTAGGTGGCCAAAGTATTTGAGTTTCCTCTTCAGGATCTGGCCTTCTAAAGAGCAGTCAGGGTTGATCTCCTCTAGGACTGACCAGTTTGATCGCCTTGCAGTCCAAGGGACTCGCAGGACTTTAAGAAAAAAAAAAGAAATTAAGCAGACCGAAATTCAGAGGTGTTATCTGTGCTGGGGTAGATCCGTTTCTGATGACGCTTGCAAATCTGCTTCTATACAAACACCCTTGCTGACTTTCTTTTATGTCTCAGCCACCGGTCACCCTAGCTCAAGTCGCTCTTCCCTCTTGCTTGTTCATCTTCCCCCTGTCATTTGGCTGTGCAGCCCCCTAACCTTCTCCCCTCCCCTCCCCTTGATCCTATAAATATAACTCGTGGCCTAGATTCCTTCTGTCATGGTGTCAGCTCAAGCTCTTGGTGCATCAGTCACTGCTGCGTGGCTCATTCATCACTGGGGATGAGAAATAGGGTACGATTCCAGGTGTACACAAAACCTTGATGCAGCTGATGAAGAAGAGGTGAAAGTAATGATTCTAGAATCTAGATCATTGACCTGAGCTTT